GGGTTCCTGCCCGGGCTGGCTGGGATTCTCTGTGGGGTGTTCGTCGCCAGGTTCAGCCCCCTGCCAGGCCGCGAAGGGGGATTCGGGTCATGCGGGTCGGGAGCTAAGTGCGGTACAGAGCTAGTAACTTGGCCGTTGTGGACTGAAGTCTAATTTCGTACATCAGTCGCCTGCCGCTACTGTAAGGGGCTGGTCAGAAAACTTCTCTGTTGTCTGTATTTGCTTTTAACATACTGTTGTAGTGGGGGGAGATGTTGAGTAGCTGCTTAAGCAGAGGAAATAAAGCCTGTCTGTTGGAACTGCAGTATTGCAAAGATCTGTGTTTACCGTGGGAACTGTAAATGAGAATTTTCTCCTTGTTGTATATTTCATATCTCTATCCCAGTACTCCAGTAGTGTATTTTATTTGACTTTAGCTTCTGCTAGTGAAGAGAGCTATTTTTATGCCAGTACCAAATTATGCTCCATAATTTTGAGCGGTACTGAATTGTCTCTCTGTTTTTCCTGTTTGCTGACATGAAGATGGTATTCTTCCATAGAGTCCTGTTGCCAGGTGTTTATTCCATACTTTCTTGAGACCTAAATGAGTTGTATTTTTCTTGAATTATGTAATGTGGTGGTACTTGGCCATACTAACTTTGCCATAAGCACTTCCTAAATGCAGCTTAGAGCATACAATTCAAGTTAAAAGTAAAATCTTTCTTCCATACCTTTACTGCGGCTTGGATGCCTCTGAACCGGGAAAGCTAGAACTGGCCTGTTCTGTCCCTAAAACTGTCTGGGTTTGAAAGACAGCTGGGAAAGAAAAAGAGAAGGAAACAAAACTGAAAGGAAATGTTTACCCTGAGGAAGTAAGGAAGCAGAAAGAGAGAACTGTAGGAAAAGGTTGGAAAGGATGGAAGTACCAGGGCAGCACTGTATGTACCAGTGATAATGAACATTTGTCTTGTGCAGCTGGACTCGAGAGGACTGTGGGGATGGCATCTTTTGTACCTGTAGGAGATAGTTTCTTGTGTTGTTCTTAGTACCCTCTTCCCTCTGGAATAAGATGTGATACGTAAAGGATCTCATTTTTTTTCTGCACCATTCGCAATGCAGTGCAAAACAGTACTAGGATGTATTATAATTTTGCTTTGTGAAAGCAAATTAGTAATTAATGTTTTAGGCAAAGGACGTTAAACCTTTTTTTAGTCTGTGTCTATATGGTAGCCTTTTTAAGATACAGCAGTGTGCACACGTACATACATCAGAAATTGGAGTTTAGGAGGTTTTTGGTACATAAATTTCTCTGCAATTTTAAAATTAATGCGCATTGTCTTGGACTGTGGAATTAAAGTTATTTTATAGCAATAGCTTGGCAGAAGAGGAAACTAATAAACATTTTTTGACTTAACGCAGGATTAAATTACTTTTTTGTGGGATTAGGTTGCAGATAGTTGCAAATATTTTTTGCTCTTCACAAAAGATTAATTCCTTTGAAAAAATACAATTTCCACTAAAAGAGGTGTTGTAATATAGCAAGGTGACTGAGGATCTTGCAAATATTTGAGTTAATTAAAAAACTGAGTTATTATATCCTTTACAACAGTCTCAAAACAATAGCTTGGCACTTGCATAGCTGCTCACATTTTAAAATGTGAATGTTAATTTTTACAGCATTCTGAGGTATGCTGCACACGTTAGGTGAAGAAACAGATGCAGAGAGGTAATATGATTTGCTTTAGGCCAGAGTGGCAAAAATTACAGTCAAGAGTCCACCTCGGAGACTTTTGGGTTTAGATATTACCAGATAGTTCTCTTTTAAAAGGTTATGAATTTCTGAAATGCTGTAATACAAAGGAATATTTTTGTCAGACAGATTGTCCAGGATTCAAGCAGAAAAGCATTGCCAGGCTGTAACAGTGTCTCTGGTTGGTTATTGGTTTGTTTGTGTTTGTTTTTATTTTATTTCAGAAGGCTGACACCAAAGAGGAATTTGTTAAAGTTAGAAGGAGGGATTTGGAAAGGCTGACAACTGAGGTTATGCAATTGCGGGATTTCTTACCCAAAATAGTAAATGGGGATATCCTGGGGACATTGCAGAAACTGGATGCTATTGAATCAAGTGAGTAATACCATGTTACAAGCTCTTATAGTTTCTGCCAAAACTACTTAGAAAAAACTGTCATGCCCCTACAAAAAAGTTGTAGAGTTTGTGGAGGTATTCCACATTAAACTATGATGTTCAATGACTGCTTCAGTAAATTAATGTGTTTGTAATGAAGAAAATTACAAACTGGATTAGAAATAATAAGACGTGTCAAATTAATCTTTAAAAATATTTTACTGTGGATAAAAACATACAGCTTCTCTTACTGCCTGAACTAAGTATCAGGAAAAAAGTGATTCCTCTTTGAGGAAAAGGCAAAAGCATTCTGTTTTTCAAAATGTCACTTTAGATACACGGCAAAAACCCATGGTAAATAGCTGTGGATAAAAAGTTCAATTTAAAGGAAGAGATAATATTGTTGTATTTAGCCTGTCTTGTTTTTTAGCTTGTGTGCTTTTATTGCCTTACATATTCATAATAATAAAAAGAAAAGTTGAAGACTCTCTGTTACAAAGGTATTTTTACTGCTGTCCCCAAAGTCCAGTGTTTCAGTGTTATAATTCTCTGTGCGTCATTTTTTTCAACAACTGCACCATTCCCAGCGTGCCATCAGGACCAAATCGGAGTCAGCTCCATCCCTAGCCTGTAGCTTACATGTGGCAGTACAATTCACCTGTTCTTCTAGGAATTGGTTTTGTCTGAAAAAATGCGGGACAAGCACTGAGACAAATTGTAGAGGGTGTATGTCTTCTAGAATATCACGTGATGAATTGAAAATTAATTTGCAACAGCTGGCTAAGAAAGAGTAAGATAGAGCCTCAAGGCTTGTCTCCAATACCAAGTAATACATTGGGGCAGAGCTTCCAGCTGCCTCAGTGATCCACTCTTTGGGAAGATTCTTCCATGCCGTCAAATACTAACAGTTGAAAAGACTGTACCACCTCTCCTGCTGCCAGTCAAGACATCATCCGTGTCACAAGAAGTGATGCAGGATCTGGAAATGTTCTGTTTATGCTATTGCAAGGCATCAAGGACTGTTTCCAGTTGCATTAAGTATTCAAGATCCTCAATTAGTCAGATTCTTGTTTTATCTACTTTTATCAGTGCTCAGTCTCAAGATTTCTCTCACTGAGCCTTCTTTTGCTCCTTGTGCCAGGCATCGAGGAGATGCTGTTGGGCCCTTACAACAGCAGGTTTGTGGCATCAACATGGGGCTATTAAGACTTTCTCAAATGTTCTGCTGGCTGGCCAGCATTCTCTGGGTCCTTTGGAGGAGTACCTGAAGCTGAGTCAGCCTTTGAACTCTCTTGAGTATATCCCTGCAATGGAGATGTCTCTTGCATTTAATGAAGCCATTTGAGTATTTATTTGGGCTCTTGCCATTGTTTGTCCCTACAGCTGGACAAGTCAAGTGGTGATTTTTGCTGCACCAATCTGCTCCTGCCTCTGCAGCATGCAATAAAGCAGACTGAAAGGAGGCTTTGGAGCATACAGTTCACAAAAGGTTGGATATCGCAGGGACACAAGCAGTCTTCAGTCTCAGAATGGTGAGCTTTCTGGTGCTGTTTACTAAATACAATCTCTTGGTGTTGGCATATGAAGCTTATAGGAGTCCTGGCAGCTACTAGAGATGTTTTTTCACGTTGTTCTTGCAGAAGCCTAATGGGTGATTTGTACATCTCTCTAGGCTTTCATCAGCTATTGTAGTTTTCTAAGTATTATAAACATGAAGGGGTGAGCAGGTTGTCGTGCTCAAGAAGTGCAGATTATAGTCAGAGACTTTCAACACCTCTGGCCCATTCAGTTGTGACAATGATGGAGCCTTGAATAGCTTTAAGAAACCTTGAGATCTTTGCATGTTTCACTTGTATATCTAGGTCAATAGGATACCCATTTGCTATGGGAGCATCCCATAGGTGGTATCTGAGATCGGAGCTGGCAACAGTCAATGCAGCCAACACCTGCTTTTCGGGCTGGTGTCAGGGTCTTCACTAAGGCTTTTGCCAGGGTAATTGTTCATTTCAAAAACAAAGGTCCATTTTGTTCTTACTACCCTCCTCAGGAAGAGTGTTTGGCTCCAGGAATCTTAGAAAAATTTTCTGTATTATTATGCATATGTGTAGTGGAACTTGGTCCACTGGGGAAATGTTAAAAATTGCATTTAACATTGATCTAGCATTTGGATCAGTAGAATTGGAATTCCATCCCTTGTTGGCATTCACTGTAATTATACTCAGTTCTCCACTTCCCAGAGCTTTGAGATTAGATCTCTGGTCCAGAAAATCTCCTGATGCGACCTATAGCATGGATGAGAAAGTCCACCTCGCCTGAAATGTGGGCCTCCTCTTCTTTTGTTGTGTGCAATGCCTCCTTCTGCTTTTGAGTCTGCTGTCTATCTCGGGAGCAAATGCAACTTCCCAGAGTCTGATTTGCCGCTGCAGTGGTAAAATTATGTATTCCCTGTTTGTACAACAATGCCATTTCATGTGTTTTTGCTCTTCCAAGTTGATAGTGAAAGCTGCTGCTTGACTTGGTGGAGGTAGACAGTCTGAGCCTCAAGATTTTAGTGTCAAGAGGGAAGGAACTTTCTAACCAGAGGCTGGGACTTGCAGCCAGTGGGAGAACCTGTCAGGCTTCCCTGTGTGCTGCTCAGGACCACAGTGTGCAGGAGTGAGCAGCACAGCTGCAGTCTTCAGTGTCAGCAAAATGTCTGCTGCTCCTTCTGCTGCTGTGTGTCAAGAGGCTGCCAAATGTCAGGACTGGTGCATGCAACCTTGAATTCTCTTCAGAGCAAAGGCATGCACAGCTGGGAGAGCTGACAGGGCATAATGGCAGGAGTTTCCACAAATGAGGCATAGATAGAAGTAGGTCTCTCTTCAGCAGCTTCCAATATTACCCCCCTCCTTTTTTTTTTCTTTTTTTTTTCCCCCCCTTGACATCAAACATCGTAATACCTTAGAGGAGGTTGACGCATCCTTCTTTTATTGGAGGACTCAAAAAAAAAAAAAAAATACAGGTAGCATTGAGTTAGCACTCAGTAATTAATATTATTCCCCTTCTCCTGGCTCAGTTTTGGTTCCAGGACCTTTGAAGTCTGCCAGTGAAGGATGTGGCACCTTTGTGTGTCTGCTGGCTGCGCTGATGCTGGATTCAGGATAGATCCATCCTCTCAAAAGCTGGAAGTGATTCTTCTCATATAGGAGAGCTTGTTTCCTTGCAGTGAGAGAGATTTTCACTGGATATACTTACCTGGCAAGAATAAATAGGTTCTTGGTCTGCTATTGGTAAGCAGAGCATGCCCTACTCATGCTCAAGGCATCTTTCAGTCAAGTACTTAAGACTCACACCCACAGAGTAATAGGTACGTGGAACTGTATTTTCTTTACTTGACAGAAGGAAAGAAAGTTTCCTGCCGCCGATCAGAGTTATTCTGCAAAAACTCAATGAATCCATTCCCCTCTTCATTCTTTTCCTTTGGATTGCAGGATTGAAAATAACTGAATGCTTGGAGAGCATGTCCTGGCACATATAATGTTTCCTAGGAGTGGACCCTTGCCTTGCCTCTTTGATTTCTGTTAAAAAGTCCTAGTGTTCATGGCTTAGAGTCACACAAGGGCTGAGTGGAAATACATTCTGCCTCTTTAGAAAGCTGTTTGTGGCTAGATTATCTTCCTCTATACTTGCTGCTCAAAGTAATGTGTATGTATTTGAGATGATGACATTTTGTCAATTAGGACCAAAAAAGAAAGGGTTTTATTCCCAAACAATGTACAATCACTGAATAAAATGCCAGAATCCAAGCTCTTTGGATAATAAAGACTTTTTTTTTTTTTAATGATGTTATCTTTTTATGGTTGAATTTGGTATGCTCTTTGGTAAATACATTCAAAAATATTGACCACATGTAAGGGGAAGACTTGAAGTATTTTAAGCCATAGACCATACTCTCATGATCAAGGGTATGGCGCTCGAAGTGCGGTGTAACTTGTTTTTTAGGCTAATCAAAATTACAGTAGATGCTGTTTGGACATTACTTTTTGGAATTACTTAAATGCGTTTCCTTTTTTCAGTATAAATGCTAAACATCCAGAACCGTGGTTTTTAAAGTAAAATACAATATACAACAGTTATTAAAAATATCCTTCAAACTGAATTTTTTAAAACAGACATCGTGATTGTGAAATATAACACTTTTAACTTGATTTTGATTCACTAAAATAAAGCGTCTAATTTGGAATGTATTTCTGATAACATCAGAGATTAATTTTTTAAGGGAGTTGTAAAATTTGCTTGTCACTGACATAATGTTTAAATAGTTTATAATGTCTTATAATACTTTTTAATTTAAAATGTTTGGAGTAGTTGCATTTCAGTCTTACTATTCATATAATTTGTACATTGTATATTGAAACACTCACTTTTGACTGATCTTGGTATTCTTTTTCTTAGATTTTTGCTATACTCACTGAATTTCAAAGATACCAGACACAAAAGCCATCATGAAAACAAACAAAAAAAGTAGAAAATTGATTAAATTTTTAAAAATCCTTAAGGAGCTGGAGCTTGAGCTCAGTTCCAGAAAGGTATCTTATCAGCACACCGTGTTTAACAGCTAGATGTGATTCTTTCAGTCTTTTCCTGTTTTAAATCGGAAATGTCATGTTTGTTTAGTTTCTTGTAAGAACTGTTGAAATGTGGTAAATTGTGATACGCAGTTTAGCCACGAGGAGGTGATCGAACACAAGCAAATAGTTAAAGCACCGCATTAATGTTGTACTCGGTGGATTCGTTTTTCTTTAGTGCAAGCCTGTTGGTCATAACTTACTGCTTCGTTTATCTGATTTATCGTATCACAGACATGGAGAAAAAGGAGGAGGAAATAGAGCAGCTAAAAATGGATTGTGAACACTTCAGAGCCCGTCTGGAAACAGCCCAGGCAGATTGCATGAGGGAGAAGAAGGTATATTCACTGTCAGAATAATGGTATCTGTATGCTTGAGTTCCAATAAGAAAAGCAGTAATGATCAGTTTTTCATGTTCATGTCACAAAATACATCCTCAGCCTGAAAAACAATCTGGGATTTCTATAAGTTCATAACTGGTGTTCATAATTGGAACCAATGTTCATAGTTTACCTATAAGTTCATAACTAATGTTTTTTTCCCCTTGATATTTCTAGACCCAAAGGGTCAATATTATAACAAGACAAAATATAATACCATACAGTACCCAAACGTATTCAGTGTGTACAAGTACAGGTACAACTGACAGTTGGTCTCCCACTTACGCACATAACCCTTGCATAACTGCATAGATGTCTCAACTTCCATACTGTGTGAGGTACAGTTGTATGGGGTTACATTACGGGCTTCTTGGCTGGGTTTGTTTTTATGTGTATAAAGTTAAAAATCAGCCGTAAGCTTTTTGTTTATATTAACATGTTGAAGTAGAACATTGGGAATTTGGGAAGATTGTGGTATAGCTGACATCAAAAGGTCCTTTGCGGAATCAGTTCTTTTGAATTTAATGTAACTATAACATAAGAGGACAACAGAAGATAATGTAAGCAATGCAACATACAAAATGAAACTGGCCTCTCTTTTGGCTTGCTGTAAGCTGTGTGCCTTTGTTTAGTTTTAATAGTCTTTCTCAATGCACCTATTGATCCAACTGCCATGTACAGCTGTGAGTCAAAGAACAATTACAGGGCTCCTTTTGCTCTGTCAATATTGTATTTAGTGTTTATGAGAGGGGAGATTTTTAACAATGAAGGAATAGCAAAGACTGTGACTTCCCAGACTGTGGGTCTTCTGTGAAGCCATTGGGGTTCAAATAGGATCACACAGACTAGTGGCTTAATTTCTGAGAGGTGTGAGAATCAGTTGTGATTATTTGCTGCAAAAGTTCATTTCCTTGGAGCTGACCGCTATCTTCAGTAGTCCGCAGAAGCTCACTTTGTTTCTAGAGTTAGCATCTGCCAGCCTTGGGATTGCATGAAGACAGATGAATCTACAGAAATGTTTTCATTTGAAAAGGAATAAATGAAGAGTTCAGACATGCAGTTTTAGGGCACATCTGTGTGGACAAGTCATTCTGGAATGAAGTTTGGTATGAATGTAAAGTGTGATGGAATAGTTGTCTATTCCTTACTTCAAAATAAGTATCTTCTGGGATAGCTGTTGCAGTTCAGCAATAGGTCCACGGTTAGTTTTGCTGTGCACCCAGGTCTTTAGTTATATAAGCATCCAGGATAAAATCTCTGTAAGATTTAATGTTGCTGCTTTAGATATTAATGAAGTGGGTTCCACCTTTTATCCTTGTTAATATTACAAAATAAATGGCAGGTGGTTTAGGTTTGTGATTTCTTTTGGATGAAAATTTTACTTAAAGCATGGATAATTTACTAAGAGTAGTTGTTGTCTGGTGTTCCTGATCAAAGCTCTTCTCTTCATATCTTTGCTGTTGTGCAGGATACACTGGTTGGCTAAATGGCTTCTGTTATATGCCGCAAAGGTGTGTTTGTCAGAGTGAATTGTGCTTATGTATGTTGTGAAATCCTTTAGCTCTTTGGGATAAAAGAAGACGGTGTATGTATATGTGTGATTTTTGTTTTGTTTTGTTTTGTTCCTGCTAATCACTTTGCATGGTGTTTTTCATTTGGCTGCTGTTCTGCTATAGGCATCCTTGCGTATAGTTTCTGAATTATTTTCTACATATTTATCTTCTGAAGGAAAAGGAAACGATTCTCTGAAACAAACATAAAATAAATGCATTTTCTAGTTGAGCAGTGTCCTTTTCTTAGGGGATCATAAATCAACATTTTGCATTCCAAAATTTCTGTGCAGTGCTGTATCACTGATCAGGGCATTGCTGTGCTTTCTGAACCTGAGCAAAAATTGAAGTGCACATGTTATTCTTGGCCAATGTCTTGTTTGTCTATCCATAGTTATGTACTTAAGCACTGCTGTATTCTTGTGCCTTGACCCTTTCCTGAAGATGGTGATGTTGCATAGCACAGTGATTGCTTCGTGATATGAACTCTTGGGAGTGTTGCTTCCAGCTAGGTTATTTGCTTTTGCAGGGTCCGTTTATTTTCCTGGCTCTTGAATGTACTATTTTGTTTTCCTTGCTTCGTATCTTTGTTCTGATACTGCTTTTGATCTATTAAAAATTCTGGCATTTCTTGTGCTGGCTTTGTATCCTTGTTGGGGGATCTAACTTTGGTATTACAGAGTTTTATGTCTTACTAGTCAGTATTAGCATCCAAACGCAAAATGCAAATAAAATGTATTAAAAGATACATTTTCCTAAGACAAGGACAGTGCAGAGAAGAAAAGCAGGGACAATATAGGGGTTAGACAGGAAGATGCCTGTGGACGTTTTGTTGATGCATGTGGTGGCAGAAAAGCTGGTAGGTCTGGCAGTGAGTTATGCAAAAGATAAAAATTGGCTAACTTGCTTAAAAATTGTCAAAGTATTATGAAATAAGAGACTTTTCCTGGGACTTCTATGCCTAGGGAGTCAGCAGCAAGTGTCAGTCTTTTGCATATATTAAACTAAAAGGCAAAAGAGACTCCAGAGAGTAAATATGCACAGGAGTCTGCTTGATAAATTTAATTTGAACTTTACAAATCCTAGCCTGTATATTCCATTAGGAGTATGATAAAGCAATGCAAATCAGGCTGTCAGGTGTGATACAGGGGGCTGGGTAGGTAATTAATGACAAAGTACAAGCAGCTTTGTACTGGTTGATATCATGTTATGTAAATTTTCAGATGAGTTTGTTTCTATTCTTTCCAAACCCTCATCACAAAACATTGAGGTGAACCCCCAAAATGACAAGATACTTATTTTAAAATCTTGATGGGAATACATAGTTGAAAGTTTTGTTTGTTTACTTGCTTTCAAAATTCACATAGAAAAGATTCCTTCTCATTTCCCTGTACTTCATCCTGATAGCTAAACACACAGGGGAGGCTGGGCTGAGGAGGGTGCTTTCTGCAGTGAATTTGAAAATCCCATGCCCACAAAATGGGCAGAGCAAGATCCTTCTGCTCTTTTGATGTCATGTGATCTGTGATTCTCTCTCTCTCTCTTTTAATACTTGAGTTAGCATCATTTTTCTTGATGGCCTTTATCTTTCCCTGCAGCACCGTCTAATACCACCCCACTCCAAGTTAGCAGGGAGCGCCGATCTGCCCTGAGAGACCACAGACTGCAGTATCCCTGCCTTGATCTCACTGTCCACACTAGCTCTAAGCTGGGAGGTGCAGCAGCTTCATTACCCCTGTGGTAGTTGGTAGGAAGCCAGTGAGACCTTGAATCATACCTAGTCTCGTGATATTCTTCTGGCCAACTTCCCATGTGATTGGAAAACAGTACTGCCAAATTGGAATTGTGTCCTGGTCATGTTGGATTGCTCTGTTGTTTCTTTATGCTTTGTGGCAAGCACCACTGAGCAGCTCACTTAGATGATGGATGCACAATGGTGCCTGGGCTTTCTTGGTATGAAAGGCCCTCTAAACTTCAAACCTTAGGTGTGTTTTTCCAGGGACTCTGTCTTACTTTGCCACTGCTGATCAGGAACATGCCAATAGAAAAAAGTTGGAAGAGATGATAGTATTTATCCAAGATATCCAGCAACTCTACCATGTTGGCTAAGGCAGAAGTCTGTTTTGAAAACCAAAACTCTCCCTTTCTATAAGATGTTTCCAGTATCTTTTGTAAGGTGTCTGGAAAGGCTGACCTCTGATGCTGAAATCCCTTCTCTCTCGAAGAGACACGTAGCTGTTTGCTTAGGAGGAGTAGACTCTCCTATCAGACTTCTCTAGGTGCCACTCAGTCTCGGTGGGTCACTTGGTCTGACCTTGCGGAGAGGCTTCTGGTTACTGTCAGCCTCCACAATGTACTTACTACTTAGATATAGCTCAGGAGAGAAGGTATGTATCTGTAACCGCTCTGAGTTTGCCACCCCCCCCATCATTTCATATATGGCCATGATGTTGTTTCTTGTTCTGTCCCTTAGCCTAGAAACTTGTTTTGGCTGATACAAAGTGCAACCAAAATTTCCTTGCGCTATTTCAGGAGAAACTAGACCTTCGCCAGCAGCTGAATGAGGCCAAGCAGCAGCTCCTGCAGCAAGCAGAGTATTGCACAGAAATGGGTGCAGCAGTGTGCACATTGTTATGGGGTGTATCTAGCAGTGAGGAAGCTGTTAAAACCATTCTAGGAGGAGTAAGTATGGCAGGTGAATACTTACCGGTGGTAATGCTGTTAGGCCTTTTAAAATAAGGACCTTGCTTTGTAACACACTTTAATATAAGGATATATTTCAGAAACTAATTGGACAGCAAAAATGTTTTCTGAATTGTATATTCTTTGGGAACAATCCATTCTCATTTAAGAAGTGTTGGAACTACAAAGTGTTACGAAGCAGGCTGGGAATAAATGCAGTAATTAATCCTTATGTTACCAAACAAGGATTGTCTGTTTTGCACCACACAGTTAAACTGGAAGCAAGGCTGCAGCTAGCACAATGTAAATACTTTGCAAGCTAACAGAAAAAGAAAATAATTCATGGGCACATGCAGCAGTTCCAATACCTGTGGAGAGCTTGGAGGAGCTATTTCCATGGAAGGAAGACAGATCATCGATTCACAACTTTAAATCTTTGTGCTGCCTTAATACTTGCATGACTCTTGGAAATTTAGAGAGCCTAGCTGCTAGTGAATCTTATTAAATCTTCAATGCTAAATGTGGATAGGTAGCTTATTTGAAAAAAAACCCAAACAGACCAAACCCCAAAACAAAAACAGTTAATGACAATAGTAATATTACAACTAACACAGTTTCGCTGCCAAGTGCAGCTGATGGAAATAGGAGGGATCAGAGGGGATCAGGCCTGATAAAAAATATGATTTTCAGTCTTGTCACAGCCAACATGAGAAGGAATTGTTGTATTTAATCTGAGTGAAGTGATGCCACAGTTTCTTCTGGCTTGATTTTTTTCGGCAGCATGATGAACAGCTGAGTGAATAGGATTAGTTCATTATAGTAAGTGGTGAACTAGTGCGTTTGTAAGAGGCTTTCCAGTTTTGGTGCACCAAAATACAATTATAACTTTATATTGGGTATTGGAAAGCTATACAGTAATACCTTTTGGTGATAACATCTGATGATGCAAGATCCAAGCAGCAGCAGTTACTAAGGAAAAAAAGTCTGTAAAAACACTGTATAAAGCAGTTAACAATAATAATAAAAAAAGGCAGGTGGGTACTGCAGAGCCCCCACATAGCAACAAAACCAGTATAAAATTACATTCTGTATTTTCACAACAGTTTATAACTGTAAGAGTTGACAATATTTAGTGACTAGCTGTTGTTATTTGACTTGTGAAACAGTATTGAAATGGTATGTTTCCCGCAAGCAAAACGCTAGCAGTGATGAAAATGACTGTATTTTTACAAATGAGAGTAAAATTAGTAGAAGCCTTGTTGAAAGCAGGTAAGATTGACTGAAATGATGTTTGGAACCAGTGTACCATTTGTGTCCATATGGGTTGAGAAAGTCAAAACTCGAGCAGCATATTTGAAATTAGCACAAGTCGTTTTCAAGGCAGTGGGGGAGAGATGCCTACTGTTTCTATCCATGCATAACATTTCTAGAGAGAACTTGAAGAAACATCCAGAGAAGCAGCATGAGAGAGAGTTTTCAAGGATGCCTAGTTGCATGTGCCAAAAAAGAAGTAAATTAATTCCCATGAGATTGTTTTAGATGTCTTTCAAAAAACTTCAACCAGATATCCACATGACAGGACTCTCACATGGAAATGCAAACTGAAGGTTTGATTTCAGAACAATATCAAGACTTGCTTCAACTTGAGAAATTTTGGATCCTACAAGGTGGTCTGCTACTTCAGTTATCTGCTAAGCCGTTTGTCACCATTATATTTTAAGGCAGCAGTTTTGCACATTAACTGATATTTTCATGCAGGAGTTACTTGGACAGCAAAGGGTTCATTGCACCATCTGAGCTCAAGCACCTTAATGGCGGCTCTCAGAACTGTCCGTATCTCGGTGTCTGTGGGTGAGACATTTTTCAGTCCCATGAAAATACTGTCAAGCTAAGAAGAGACTGCACAGAGTACGTAATGTTTGCTATTTATAAACTTGATTGGTCTTTGCTGCAGCTCCTCAGACCTCACTGCTAGTTAATTAATGGCTGTTTGGAAAGAAGGTTCAGCAGAGGATACCAGCAGCACCTCAAGAGACTGGCAAATAGAATATTTTGCGTGTTTTCTGTGCAACATACCAATGACTTAGTTTGCTTAGTACTCTAAGCATAGAGGTTAGTACTCTAAGCATAATAGCTTATACTACTTTGCTACAGTAGGCTCTCTTCACTTTTCTCTCATGCCCTCTGCTTCTTGAACTATAGTCACTGCTTATGTTAAAATTGCCATTTTTGAGGTGTGGTGTCCATATAAGCATAAAAAGTACATCCAGCACATGCAGAAGTGCACTTTTTTACATTCTCTTTCTCCATGATCCCTTCGTTCCTGTTATTCTGGGATCACAGTATCATTTGTGAAGATGTTGAGTATTGGCTGACACTGCTTTTTATGCCCACTTGCTGGAGTCACCCCACAGGAACTGTACATCTTTGATGTGGTGAATGTGCAGCAGTGGAGGAATAAATAAATGTTACCAGTAGCTTTGCACATATTGTGAAAGCAGTAGTTTTGACAAAATATTAAAATTTTTAGTCACTGCAAAATGAATAAAAGTTCAGGCGTTTCTAGGACTGTCCCATTTGGTTGCTGCTGGGAATGACTAAAAGTGTCAGCTGCTTCATGAGCAACTGGCAAAATTATTAAAGACACTGGGAAACCTGGCATTATGGGCTCTCTGCTATACTATTTTTATTATGAAAGCCAGCATCATCTGTGTGAAATAGTGTTCCAGGAATGTTTTACAAGTCAGAATTATTAATAAACAGAAACAGTTCTCTGTCCTTCTTTGTGGGCTCTGTCTGCACCTCTGATCAGGCTCTTTGACCTGCCCTGAGCTTTGTACCAGGTGGCTGCTTCCTCAGCTGAGATACCCCAAAATGGAGCAGTATTCCAGCTGAGGGGAGAAGACTGCATAACATAATTACGGGCTGTACTCCTGCTTGTATGGTCTGGTGTGATGATCGTCTTTCTAATGTGACATTGCAGACTTAAATTCAATCTGTGACCCAGGAGGGACCTCCATTTCCTTTTCTAAAGAACTTTTACCTAGCCTGTTGTTCTCCATCCTGTATTGAGCAATTAATGAATCCTGGTAGGATCCAATCAAGTTCTGCTTTTTTCTGGGTATTTCACTGGTTTTCTTAGGAAATTCCTGTCAAGTCACTATGTTAGGCTGCTTTCCAGTCTTCAGCTGGATAGGGTTTTGACGAAAGCTGCTGTAGTAGGCCACGTAAATGTGAAACACCTGATGCAGCTATTGCAAAGCAAAGAGAGAATGTCCTCACTTTTGAAAATAAGCTATAATTCTGCGTGTTTGCTATATATTATTGTGGGTTTACGAGATAAATATGCAATGCTTTAGTTTCATAAATAAATGTGTCATTGAGTGGTTTCCCACTTTCTTCTGAGGTAATGGTTTCAAATATTAGGGGATCAAACATGTCACTTAGTGCATACCTGTTATTTTCTGTTGTTTTTTGAAGTAACTGGGTGTTTTAGTAATTTTGAAGATTGTCTAATTTTACTGTAGCATCTAATAATCATAGTTGCTCTAGTGTGTATAATCTTTTTTTTTTTTTTCCTCTGCACTTCCAGAGTAAAGCAATAAAGTTTTTCACAATCGCTGCACAGACCATGGAGAGCTTTGTGAAGTCATTAAGTGAAGACATGAAACAGCAGGATCTGGATTCTGATGAAAATCAGTTTGTATTAGCTTTGGCAGGGATTGTAACAAGTAAGTTAATGTTATATTTCAGAATAGCATTCCATGTGTACTAGGAATTTCTATATTGCCTTATATGTGCTGCAGTAAGTACAGCTTTTCAAAGTTGGATATTTAGTTAATGTTGATATCTTGGTTGACTTCCTAGTCTTTTAAAGTCCTAGCAGATTTTGTCATTTACACTTCTGTGAGGCATTCTACTGTCAGTGACACAGTTCAGGGTTAGACAGGCAAGAGCCATTGAGTTCTGAAATTCCCTAACATGTCTATTCCATCTGGAGTAAAGCAAAGACCATTCTGCCATGCTCACCATAGTTTGTAAATGTCAAGCAATTTACTTTCTGAATTGCCAGTAACACTAACATCTTCAAGATATATGAATTGCAGATGTTGCAAGTAGATCCGCCCCACCTTAAGGTATGTGCTCAGCATTTTGAAACTGTTTAAGACTTTTTTTGCTGCCAGATGGACCCCACCTTCACTGTCCTGAGTCCATAGTGCTAAGAGAAGTAAAAGGTAATAGACCTGACTTCCATACCAAATGTTTCTTTTTAGGGTCAGAAAATAAGTAGAAAGCCACAGATCTATCTTAGTATGGCTGCCCTTGGCTTAGAAGGCTGTGAGAAATGGGATTGATGCATCATCTGCATTTTTGTGAAACTGTGCAACTGTCAAAATGACACTAATGACATGATGCAAGATAGATGAAATAGTGGGTATTTATACAAATAAGTGAATCTTGCATTAATGGCTTTGTTGAATGTATGATTTTAGGTGTTGTGGTACCATTAAAGATTGTAATAAAAAACAATATGTGATGCATTATGCCACTGTACCAAGGTGGAATCCAGTTCTCTCCAATTTCTTCATTGAAAAAAAACCAACAAACCCAAACAAAAAAAGCATAGCAAAAGTAAAGTCTGAACAAAGAAAATGTTTAAAAGCTGGGGCGGGGAGTGTTGGAGTTCTGCCTGAGAAGGAATCAGGATGGTGGAATGAAATCTTGCTACACTGAAGCTGATAGAAATTTTGCCAGTGAATTTGATATTACCAAGGTTTGTCTCTTTGTCTCTGTAATTTGGGAAAGGAGGTTGCTGAAACTCAAATGAGATAAAGGATAGTCAGGTGAATGATGTAGAAGGTACCAGTTTAATTCTCCTAGTTACACTGTAAAGTAGTATTACACTAGAAAGCAGTATTAAAAGAACACTGAGGAGGTGGTCATGAAGTGGCAAGTATTCAGAAGTTAGAAAACACCAGAACAGAAGTTCTCAGTGCAGTCATAACACAGCCCAGCATGCACAAACATTGCAATAACAGTCTTTAATTATATGCTGTGTCCATAATACCTCTGCCTATTCTGAGGGTAAAAAAGGCATCATGATGTACATGCACAGGAGAGAGAAACTGAGGCTGCATGAAAGTGGAAGAACTGTATCATGCAGCAGGTCCACAAACTTGCCCTGAATGGGAGGCCAGGGAACCAGGTTCTGTCACTAGTTACATACGCTGCACTTTATGTCTTTGGAGGAGGCTTAGCCAGTTGCACAGTACAGAGAAGCTTGGGTTGCTGGAAGATACTTCTTGCACTTAAGGATGCCCTAAAGTATGGGGCAAGCGTAAGGGAAAATACTAAAGGAAAGTCTGCTTTGGACCAGTAGTCTTTGGAAATATTTTTGCCTTTTGGTTTGTGCATGAATAATGCAACACTTGCAGAGAGGTAGGAAAAGAGCTTTTGAGTAGATTTCCACAAGAGTTTTGGTTGTGTAATGTGCCAGATGTATTGGATTGAGCAATTGTAAAACAATCTGCAATCTTGTTTCTTTAAAGTGGGACCTGTAATGGTCAGCCTTGCTTCAGTCCCACATCATTTGCGGATGAATCCAACCTTTTGTTTCATAATTCACTGTCTTATTATTAGGGTACTGGCCACTCTTAATAAATATTTTAATTACCAAAGTAGAATTACGAAGGGGTTTGACCAGTATAATTTGCTGCTTCAGTATTTGCTATTTAGATGAGTATAGTTTGAAGTTTATATAGATGCCATAGTTCATTCTTCACAGCTGACATATCTTTTTAGTGGTTCTGATAATTAGTATAAACTTTTGCTTGAAACATGATTTTTATGATGATGTTTTCTGTTCTCCCACAGATGTGGCTGCACTGGCATGTGGCCGTGAGTTCTTGGTTAGTTCAAGTCGTGAATTACTGGACACAATGATGCACCTCCTGGGAGACATGAAGCCAGGACTCTGTACCAAGTTTAAAGTGTATGATGACTTTTTTTTTTCCTTGAAAATGAAATGCATTATCTTGCAGTGTGGGTCACAGTGATGACAGTAGTTTTCCCACTCTCATTATTTTCTTTCCTGGAGAGGAAACAATTTTTGGAAACCCTTTTCACAGTAGCATCCCTTGCGGATATACCAGGCTTGGCTACAAGGCTAGCTTTATCCAGGTTTTGTGTCTCTTGGGAAGTCTCTTAATCACCATAATATTGTAGAGATGAGCAGGGATGCAGCCTTCTACCTTAGGAGGGGCTTATCAGTTGAGGGTCAGATAAGGAAGGTGTGAGGTCAAGTTTTAAAACAGAGAGGCTGTGGGAAATGTGGACTCATATTTATTCCCTTCTAATATGAAGACACTAAAATGCTGCATCTGCTTAGTGAAGAAAGTGAGTTATATATCTGCTAAGAGCAAAAATTAAATTAGTTTATGCTACTTAGTAGCCAAAAGCACCATGCACTTACGTTTGTAAAAGGTAATGCCTGTAAAGGGATCTTGTGATACAGCATTGTAAAGAACAGGCCATGTTACACAGTTCAGATGCTGGAAAAGCTGTACTTCCCAGCTCATGGAGAGACTGAGTAAACTATTGTCTTTGCCTTTTTCTCAGAGCTGTTACAAGCTGAGGATATATGGCCTTGACTGAGCAAATTACAGTGGCTTAACGAGTACTTGCTCATCCGCTAAGCTGTGGGCACTTGCCCAGTACACCTGGTTAATTTGTTCATGAAGATAGTTTAAGTGGTGGGGTTTTTTCATAAATGGGACACACACGCACACACAAAGAATTCATACCCAAGCCAGCTGTCACAGCTCAGCTGACAAACATCAACCCTGTCAGCCACAGTGACTTGACTGTGTCCATGCACGCATTTAGGCAGGTTGTGTGTGATAGGCATGAAATCAGACTCAGTCTTAACTTTGGATAGGTTTTTTTCTTGCCTAATCTCAGCTATCAGAAAGCTAGATGTCAAGTATCTGCTAACTGGGCTTCTTCCCAGTTAGTGGAAGGAGATGGTGCTGGCAGATGATTGCTCACTCAGCCTGTGTTAGGAGGAACGAGTTGCCCTCTGAAGGTGCTTGCCTTTCCCCATTGGGTAGCAAGGGGGAAGCTGAATAGCCTGTGCTGTTCAGTGGTTAGATGCTTTGATGTCAGTCATCTACTGTGTTTCCCAAGTGTTGTGCTTGAAGGTCAGCCCTCAAAACAGGGTATTTAACTCTTGCAACAGTGGCGTTTGTTTTTGTAAAGCCCCAACTGAAAGATTTGTATGAGAATCTCAACTTAAGAAAAGGTAATTTGTGCCTTCATGTCTGTAACAAAAAAAAATATGAAAAGAGGGCCTGTACCATTTCAAAATCTGTCCAGAAAAAAAATTATGAGAGGACTTTATTTGGAGAGGAGGAGGGAAAGGAAAGTGTTCTTAAACACACACACACACACAAACACACACTCTGAATTTCAAGTAAATGTGTGTCTATGGGTCCAGAGACATTATTTTTTTTATCACTTCAGATTGTATTAATGTAATTGGATGTGAGGGACTTCCTTTTGAATTGATGTTTTGGGTGGGTTTTTAATTGTATTTCAAAATCTGCCTGCTTTCCAGAAGAATTACACATGGTGATATAAACTTGGCTGCCATACAGCAATACTGGTAAAACATACATAAAACAATCCCATGAAGTGGCTAGGGATTCAACAGGGGCCAGCCTCTTAGGCTAACAAATTGAGTGAAGCTTAAAAAACATCACTGTGGTATGACATGAAAGGACATCACCAACTTAAAATTTAATCAGTTAAAGAAAAAATTTGGCTTATTTTCAAGGATATGTTTGTCCTTTGCTCAGTGTTGAGGTTTTTCAAAAATATTTTTCTTTACTCTGTGACAAATCAGGGGAAACTGTGAGTCTAATTCTACACAGAGCAGTATCAAAGTAAGCTGATAAACAGAAGAGTTCTCTTTCCTCTTCTAGTTCTAGCAGTCCTGTGTTTTACTTGTACCGGTACAGAAATAAAAAATTTACAGGGAAAAGCTGTCATTTATAACAGCACTGCTACAATATCCATTGTAGTCCATGAGTATGTAATAAATATATCCAAGGCATCTACATGAGTGAGTGCTGGTACTGAAATCTCGTGGGTGTCTTTGCCTTTCTGAAATAGCAGTGGTGTGAAAGACTAGGTTTTCTTGTCATTGGTGTAGGGTTTGTTCAACATTTGTAATTGTTAGGCAGTCAATAAACATTTACATAGTTGTTCATAGCTATAATTAAATTGTTAGGAATATTCAACTTTGCTTATGTAGCAGTTGAAAGTAGCCCATAAAAATATGTACTTTAGTGCATATTAGTACATTTTCTATACTAATCCCATGTATTAAGCAGATGAGAAGGGGCTTTAGCTGTGCTTTTAGTTCTAGATTTTAAAGAAAGCATTGACAGATATAGTAGTACAGGATGTTAATTAAATTTGGCTTGTCTAAATAGGAAGACTATGAAGTGCATAATTAAAAAGCCCTCCACATTTACAAAAAAACCCCAAAGTATTGTTTATCCAGTAATTATGTGTGTCAGGTTTGCTTCAATAAGCACTTTTGCAATAATTATCACAAACAATACTTACTGGAATGTGCAAGTACTAGAGGTGAAGGTGGTATAAAGGGCCTGGAAATGCTTCTATGTTGTGCTCAGGTGAGTGTGTTTAATTAGTAATAATATGTTACTACATTGGCTTGTGGGATGGGTTTTGTCTTCTTCTGACACTCCAAAACCACAGCACTTCCCTGGATCACCACCACTCAGCCCCTTTTTGTCTGCACAAAGCAAACAAGTGAAATAAAAATGCAAACATAACAGTATCATTTTACGTCACTTTATTTCTAACTGCAAATGTCAAACAGATTAAGAATGAAAGACATTGTCAAGAAATTCCATTATAAGATACTGTTTTATTGATCATTTTCATTCTGGCTCATTATAGGTAATTATGGCTGTGCTCCTTTGTCAGGGGTTGGGTTCTGGAAGCCAAGAAAGAGCTGCAGAGGCTGTATGAAAAGAAGTGTAGGGGCTTTACAAGTTGCAATTTCAGTTCCACAGCACCCCTCGCTGCTTGTCAGTGGCCACTGATGCAGTAGTTTTAATAATCTACTATTTTTTCTTCCTACTGCTTAAAAGCCTAGGTGATCAAACTCACAGTGGTGCAGCACATAATATAAATTAGGCCTCTTAAAAATTGGTTTAGCCTGCAATGGGTTACTTTCTTTCCTGCTTTCTGAAGGTATGCGCGGAGAGTGTCCGAAAGTCTGCTGGTGGCATAGTAGCTTAAGCTGTGAGAATAGGCTGTGAGGTGTGAAGTCCATTTGGAATAACATCATTTCCCTTTTGTTTGGAAACGGTGGCAGTGCAGTGACATGCAGGTTTATCACAGTGATGCGAGACAGCAGCTGCTAAGCTGGACCCAGAATGGAAGAGAACATTCCAGCCTGCTTCTGTTTCTCTGTGTTTTGTATGCAACCCAGCACCCAGCTGTGAGTGGGTATGATGACATGTTCCATAAATGTTAGGAGCCCTGCTCATTCATCTTCCCTTTTCATTGTCCAGAAGACTGACTTGTGTGTTACCATCTTTGAAAAGAAATAAAATAAAAAGTAATAGCATCCATCATAGCACATCATAAAGTACATTAATGCCCTGTCCCCCCAGCTAGTCCACAGCTGTAAAGATGATCTTCATAAAAGGCAGGACAGGAGAACATCGATAGAAAGGTGAAAGAACTTGTAAGACAACTCACTCCAGAGTATGGCTCTTTTTTCAGGAACATCAGGGACCTCTTGGCTCGAAGTTCATAGTACAGCAGTGATCTGATTCTGAAAGAGGCTGAGCATTAGTTTGTCTTGTTAATGTCAGTGTGGATTTTTTCTGGACGCTTTCTGCTTTTGAGTATCAGGTCCCATTCCTACTGGAAGTTAGAGGGAAATTGCAATAATTTGCATCAAACCTACTGAGACTCTGCTTAGCTGAAAAAGAAGGTTTTACCCACCAAAACCATAAAAAACTTGTATCAGCAATGTGGAAGAAGGCGTAACAACATCAAATGTTTGAAAGCAGAACTTAGTTCGGCAGAAACTGCAGGAGAAGATTTAATCCCAATGAAGTGCTCTGCATTGAGTATTAGCAATCGTTCTAGATAGCTTTGGAAAAGGAGGCTCATTTTGAGCCCTAAGTTACCATACGCGTCTGACAGTGAAAAGGAGCTTAAAATAAATTTTGACCAAGGCACTTTCTCTGCATAGAGAGGCAGAGCTGCATGCAGCTTCCTGTACCTTACAACATTACCTTGGCTCTGTCATGGCTAAGGCTGAGGGGGTAGCAGTAGCCAAACCCCTTTTGCCTGATGAGTTTCAGATTTTGCAAGTCACTGATCATACTGAAGCTTTTCATATTTGCAGTAACTTCAGCATGAGCCGCAGTGGGAGAAGCTGGTGGGATTGGCAGGCTAGAGCAGTCCTTTAAAATGCAGAGCCTTCTCCAGCCTACCTGGTTTTCTCTCTGTAGAAAAGTTGAGAGTTTGGTTTAATTTATAACCTGTGATGTATGCAGCCCCAAAATGACTAATGAACTTCCTATTTTAGGAGGCTGATAAATTAGGAAATCCTGGTTTTGGAAGCTTTTGAAAATGTGGCTGAAATGAACATATACTTACTATATGTATTTTTATTTTGTCATTTACACATGGACATGCATGGTTTCAGTTTGTCAGAGATGTCATCTTAGGTTTTTTTTTTTTTCAATGGTCAGTTAAGGAAATGTTTTCTAGCTGCCAGGCCATAGACCTTTTCTGTCACCTGGAAGACAAGTTATGGGTTCTGTCCTCCTTCAACATCAATGACCATAATAGACCAAAAGAATTCACCTTGTAGAAAAAATTATGGCTTTGAGTGGGCCCAAATGTTATTTGGAAATAGTTTTGAAGAGGTGTGGGTGAGAGTACCATTTGGCCTGTCTTATCCTGGTGTTGATCAATGCTAGGACAAGAGCACAGTTTACAGCCAAATTGAATTCCAGTGTTATTGACCTTAAAAAAAAAAAAAAAATTCCAGTTGTACATTGAACATAATCAATCTGGATTCCTGAAGGCAAAGTAAATAGGAAAGTCCATGATGGCATTTTAAGAGACAAGCAGTCGTTTTTTTCAGAGCAGGGTCTCACTTGATGACCCAGGTCGTATGGCCCTGCCTGACTGCGAGGGGCTGGAGAGCAGGCAAAGCGAGCCAGTTCTCTGCCTTGCACCCACAGCAGAAGGGACGAGTCTAGCTTAGGAGGGAGTGTGCTAAACTGAGCTGGGACTACTAATACCTTCCTTTTCTGTCCTTCAGGCCTGTCCCCTTCTTCCAAATGCTTCTGTAGGCATAGTAACTTCCCCTGCCAGCGGAGAGAGACTACATTGGTGTTTGCTGTATGCTAGCTATATGTTGCATCTGTTCCTGCAGGCAGGAGGAACAGGAGGATGCTTGAAAGAGAATGACATAAGCAGTGTGTCTGTGTTTCAACTGACTGGAGGATCAATGTACAGAAAGGCTGGTGTTGCACAACCGATGGAGCAGAGACTTCCTTTAATGTTGTTTCTAGTACTCAGTATGCAGTCTGGCTTTCTGTGTGTCCTAGTGGCCCTTTTATTTGTCAGGGCAAACAGCTTATTTGAGATGATGATCCGCCCAGTGGCGACTGGCACTACGAAAGCTCTATGGTATAGGTCGAGTGGTCACATAAAGCCAAATCCTGGTTTTGCACGTATTATGTAATGGATCTCATGGAGTTTGATGAGACTTTCTTACTAACACATGGGATGTTTGTCCATGTGTTTGAAATATGTGATTTAACAGTAGAGACAAGGTTTTGCACAATATTGCTTATATATAATTTGAGACTTGTCTCTTTTATCAAAATATAAATTATTAAATAGGCTTCTGCATCAGTACATGCTTGGCATAAATAGCAAAATATGCCAAAACATGCAAAGAAATCAAAGTACATCATATCTTTTTTCTTTCAATTCTAGGCTAATGCTAATGTCACTTTACAATGTGAGTATCAACTTGAAAGGCTTGAAGTACATCAGTGAAAGTCCAGGTTTTATTCCTTTGCTTTGGTGGCTATTGAATGGTAAGTTGCTCTAAGAACTTTGTAAATTGTGACTTTGGGGATTGTAGATTGGCAATAGGTGTTGCAAATAACAAAACAGGAATTTATCTCTGTAACCTGATTATGTATAGCTTTTGTCAGATTAGAAGTAAACAAAAAGGGCAAATAGCTAGAGGGAGAAGATACGCATTTCCCACAATATTTTTGGCACTGTATGTAATATTCCATTAATGTAGAATTTATGGATGGTAGAATTAAAAACAGGGAATGGAGAAATTTGATGAAGTGGATTAAAAAAAGCCACCTGCATTTTCACATACCAACTTTAAAATAAACCCTGAGGGGAAACTATGTATCAGATCACTACCATTTAACAAAAGAAAATATAACTGTGTTCTGACACAATTTGGGGAAAGAAGCCAACCTCCGTAACTACATTCACCCGTGACAAAAGTGACCCCTTCTACAGCTGAAGAGAGGCCTTGTGCTCTAATAGGATTTGGGCTTGCAGGGCTTGAGTACTATTCCCAGCTTTGCCTTTGGCCAGTGCAGGACTTCAAGGACATCAAGGACTTCTGTTGCCACTGTCAGGTACATGAGTGACATCAAGGCTCTGCTCTTTTGGAGGCTTCAAATCCGTGCGTAGGAGCCAGCAGAGATTGACGTTGCCAGTGTGCATTGGACTTGGCTGGCAGCTGCTGTGTGTGCAGATTGTAAGGGACAGTGAGGACAGCAGTAAGGACAAAGCCATGACACTGTCCTGCCTATGAACTGCTCCTAGAGTTGCTCTGTCTTGGCTTTCTCAAGGTTTTGTGGCTTGTCCATGAGAAGATTTTGGTGTGCAGTTCACAGGACTGGAGAGGTCAATCATCCTGGCGCTCTGTGCTGCTATGCAAAACCCTGTTGTAATACAACTATTAAATACTAACAGCAGCCGGAGTGAGAGAGGTTCCATCTGCTTTTTCAAGGAATTAATTTCATATTGAAGTTTTGGAAAGCTTTGATTTGGGGTGGTAAGCTGGAAGCTAGTTGTATTGCTTACAGTTCCCTCAACTATTTTACAGAAAATGTAGGTAGTTGTGCTTTTCACCAAATAATTTACTGCTTTGCAATGCCATAGGCTCACTCTTTTGCGATTTCAGAAAATTAAGTAATCCTTGTAAGACTGTTGGAAAACACCTGTTTTATAGTTTCTTTTTAATATAGTTTGAGAAAAATTATATTCTCAGAGAACTCTGAATACATGGTCCTTTGTTCTGCTGTGCTTAGAAATTTAACATATATTAGTCCAGATTTTCCTTTGACTTTGTTTGGCTAATATATACATCAGCTGTTGTTCTAGCAAAAGAACCCAAACCAAAACAAAACCAAAACACCCTCAAGAATCCCTGTCTGAGTTCCCAAATGTGCCCCTCTAAATGTGATAAAACAAAGAAACTAATCATTTGACGAAGTCTGTTGTTTGAAGAAAGCTCCTAGGTCACGTAAGAGGATGAAATGTGGCACAGTTATAATTAATTTGCAGCTGCTAATGGAAATAAGATATGGAAAGGCTACTCTGCATTTTGAAAGTGTTAATTTATAGCTGGGTTGTAGAAGGAAGGACGGGCATGGCTAATTCCTTCACTTTTTGATGATAAAGCTGTCCAGTTACAGCAAAGGAGGAAGATTCTCAGATATAAACCACATCTGCTGGTTCATTTTCCCGACTTTGGAGGAAGTCTGCTTACTGTCAAGGGGGATGGCTGACTAGTTTGTGTATCAGATGAGAAGTAAGATCCAAGACCCTGTCTTGTTCCCATCATTTTGTATGAGATTGCTGTAGTTTTCTGTACATTTAAACTTTTTCTAAATGTTTCAACTTGCAAAACTCAGTAGCTTCCTCCCACTTTTGCTCCTCTCTTGTTTCTGTGGCCAGCATCTTCAGCTTCTGCTAGCCATGATTCAGTTTATAAACACCTGGAGCTGCTACAGCATAAGGTCTTACAGTTTTTTCCATACAAGAGAGTAGAGCACTACACTCTGCTGGCAGGGTATCCTGTATATGCTGTCTTCCTCCAGGAAGCTTTTTCAAACAGTGTTTTGATTAAGGCTTATGAGATGATTCAGCTTTCCACAATTCTGTAAGCTTTTATCAGCATTCCCACTAAGAGAGGCCCCAGAAATCATCCTCTGACTTATTTTTTTATTATTTATTTTTTTTATTTTCACAGAATCATCCTGTTTGCTTTTCCATTGTCAATCTACAAGTGTCTGTGACCTCAGCCTGTACATCAAGGCCATTTTTCTCCCACTGTTTTGTACGCAGCTGATAAATCCCTCAAATTCCTTCTCTGAATTCTCAGTCTCTGCCCAGTCTTCTTGTCCACTGAGGGATGTCCTTCCCCTTAAGTGAGGAGAGCAAATAATTAACTTGATTTTCTTTATTCCCCTTTGTTGTATCTGAAGCAAAGAGGGATTTGATTCAGGTTGTCTAGCAGGCTTTTTGGCAAGACAGATATACACCTTGATATTGAATACATGGATGGTAAGAGAAAGGAGGAAAAATCTTATAAAGATTTCTAGTAGAGCAGGAATGTTAAGAGCAAACTGGGTTCATCTGTTCTACTGTCTTTAGAAAATTTAGATGAGCTGGTATCACTTTACACTTGCTAACAAGAATTCTTAATAGCTCTTTCTGCTGGAGGCTATACTGATAATAGGAGAAAACCAAATGTTTGACACACTTTTTGAAGGTAATGCAGATCTCTGTAGTTTTAGCACTTTATGAGGTGGGCTATTTTTTCTTTTTTTTCCACCTTTTTAAACACTGTCTAAAAGATGAGCACCCTTTAATAAGCAGCACTGATCACTGAAGATACTCTGATAGCTTATGTAGCTGTTGTATTCTTGTGTAGGTATTGTCTGTGCCTACCTATGCCTTCCCAGCCTGGTGCCAGCATAAAACATGAGAATGATGACTCAGATTTCTGGCTGTGGAGCAGCTTGTGGGATCAGTAGAGTTGTCGTCTTGTGGAGCACCATTTGTTTGCAGAGCAGCTGTTCCCATCCTGGAGAAAATAGGCAGCTTTCCTTTTCCCCATCAGCTGCTGTCCCTTTGTTGATGTCTTGGCTACAGGTTTTGCATAACTTTCAGATTTAAAGAAGCCCTGTCCTCAGCAATAAAAAAAGAAGTTATATAATTTGGGTAGACATCCGCCTGAGATTTGTCAATATTTTTTCTGGTTCTTTACATCTATAGATGCAATAAGACTTTCATTCTGTAATTCCCAAAGAGGCAGACTGGGACTTTCCTCTGCCAAGGATCTTTTGAAGAAGAAGAAGATGCAGTCAGCTCAGGTATTAATAATAAAGACTAGATTTATGTTTTTCATTTCTGATCATACAGAGCATCTACCAACAAATGTGTGATGGAGAAAATGGGTCTAGGCTCTTCTCTGTGGTTGGTTGTTTTTTTTTAACTATCCTGTGTCTTTATTTTGGTTTTCCCCACTTCTCTTTCCTTTGAATGCAGTTAAAAAAATTGCTCTCCTTGGATACATGAGAAAGTGTGGAATTCAGAGAGACTGTCAGTGACATTTCTCATCTATAGCTGGGAAATTGCTCCAGGTACTTCATTAAAGGAAAGACAACAAGAGAAGTATGACTAATTTTAGATCTTGCCCTTCAGTTTCCTCCACCACAGTTCCACACGGAAATCTAACCTTGTTTATCCAAATTCTTTGCAAATGACAGTCTCTATTATAAATGCCTGTATGAAGCACATTCTCATTTTGCTAATGCTGCCTGCAACCTTCAATATTTGCTTTTCATGACTAACCCTGAAGGTTTTTAATGTCTTGCTTTTCTGTTTGAATTGGTTAAGGCTGTGAGAGTTTTTGAAAATTCAGGTTATTTGCATGGCAGCATGTTATTTAAAAGACATCTGGACAAACAGAACCCCCCTATTTATAAAATGATGACTGTATTAAAAGAAACTTTGGTTCATAAATCAAAACCTCAGTTAGCAGACTTTCAAGTGCACAACGGTTTCATACTCGTCAGACTATGAAACTAGTCTTAAAAAGAGGATTGCCCTTCTTGCCCTGTAAGACCATGTCCATTTTCTTAAATGCAAAGATGTCAGCTCTGACGCAGAAAGTCCCTGAACCACAGTTAGCTGAGAGGCTGGAAGAGTGGCCGGGGAAGTCTTACTGAATGCTTGCCCTTTTCCATACTCTTCTCTAAGCAGCTGCTGCAAATGATACTTGCATAGATGGAGCTCCAGCTGGGTGCAGTGTGGCTGTCCTTGCCATCTGAGCAGGAGTTTCTTGACTAGGTCCTCACCCTGCCTAACAGCAGACTCCTGCAAACTGATGTTCTCCTGAGGAGCACAGTATTTCTTCTTTTGTGAATATATGTAAGAAACCTTAACTCTGGTAAATGCATCTATCACTAAAGCATTGGTTTGTTGTTACTCTCATTCAGTAGCTACTGTGGGAATCCTCAGAAGCCCAAGCTAGGACTGAAGGGAGCTGGACAACGTATCTAACAGCTCACCAATCTGCCAGCTGCAGAGTGATGTCTGTGCAAGCTTCTTTTCACTTGCAGCCCCTAAATAGCAGTCAGGCAAATTGGGACCGAATTGCTGCTTCGATCTGGACCCTGGGAGTCTTTCTCAAGGATTTCCCTCATACAAGAGTGGCAAGCATGTGTCTGTAGGAAAGTGGGGAATTCTGGTTAGCTGAACTCCGTGTCTGACAGTGAGAGCAGTCACCTGGCTGGGAAGGAGGCTGAAGCACACTGAGCTGTTCTGCGGGAGCTGGGGCAAGTATGTTGCAGAGAGAATGGGTGTTTGCATCCATAGGAATTGCAGCAGCAAAGCTCAGTCTTTTTTCTGCCATGGTGTTCTCCCTGCTCCTTCCCCACATGGTGTCTTTATTGTGACACTTCTTGTCTCCTCAGACCTATCAGCATTATGAAAATGTCCAGAAAACTCTGCTGCTGTAGATACTGGCTCAGCTCTGCCAGCATTGGATATGCAAAGAGATCTTACATGGGGCAAGCTGTGCCCTAGCTCTCTCTGTTGGACATGCTGTGATCACAGGTAGTCTGACAGGTTCATAAAAAGGAAAGGGGGAGTGGTGGGTTGCCCCTTCATGCTAGAATCAGACAGTAATTGAATTGAATGACATTTACGACAGTGGTGGGAAGCTTTTGAAATACTGCTCTTGTACATAGACATAGCTGTAAACAGCTTGCTGGTAATAAATCTTGCATTCAGGTGGCCAGGGAATGGTATGGGCACGTGTAAATTGAGTTCACACAACTCAGAGCCAATTGTGGATAAGCTGTTTAGCATTGATGTAATGCAATTACTTAAACCCTGCTGTGGGGAACAGTTCATCTGAGAGCATGGTGCTAATGACAGATGTGACTAAAATCTGTCCACGTTATCAGTTGCTTTTGTCAGTGACTGAAAGCCAGTGACATCAAACGGTAGTGCTGGCAGCTAGCAGAACGTCAGCGAACTCCAGCAGTTTCAACACCTTGTTAAAATTGCATCAGCATTTTATGATGGTGGTAGGCTTATGCTACGCTTGTCATCCCTGACTGAGGCAAGCAGCTTGATTTCTTCCCCTATTCCCCAGAAATAATGGTAGTAGTTTTGAAATTTTAGTTGAAGAGATGTGTGTACTAGTTGTTGGGAGGATATGATGCAGTGATTTGATTACAGCTAAATGATTTTTTTGATCTTGTACAAACAAAATGTTACTCAGCTAGTGTCGAAATGACTAAATCTGAAAGGTATTGAAATAAATAGAATGCTGAATAATGAAGATTCCTTACATTTCTTCTAATATTCTTTAGACAGGGTTTTTAGAAAAAATCCCTAATGATATTGGAGAGACAAGAGAAAGACTCCTAGGGTTGGGTTTTTTTTTTAATCCTCTTCGAAAACATGATTATCCGTAATAAGTAGTATTATCAAAACCACATGTAATCCTAAGGAAGTATATTTTAAGGCATATGTATTTATTTAACTCAAAGTGTCTCTGAATACATGCAAAACAATGGCAATCAGAGGTTAAATGCGTATTAAGTCATCTTCTGGTGCAGGATCATTTCCTCCTTTGCTGTATGCCCGAGTGCCTAATCTGTTCTTCATTTGAGTGACTCAAGCCGTTGAGCTTCCCTGGCTGATGCTGGAGATACTTCCTAGAACCTCTTTGCTCTTACTGGAAAATGTTCTTGCTCATCAAGCTGGAAATAATTTCCTGATCTCCTACAGATCCTAATTTTGTTAGCTCCCCTGCTAACGCTTCTTCCCTGATAATTCTTTACTTTCTACAGCCTTTAAACACTTGCAGATAACAGTAACATAGATGCCTGTAATGGTATTAATAACAAAGGAGTTTTCATCCAGGGATTTAAAACATCTTACATACATGAAGCTTCCCAGCAGTACTGCAAGCCATTAAAAGTATTAACGGCTTTATTTCATGGAGGAATAATGTCACACGGAGGAAGATTGTAATGAACTACATAGACTTCATTCCCAAAAGCTTCTTTCTTTTTACCTATTTGGGCTATGGTTTGTTGCTGCTATTTCTGGTGAATAAATGTAGAATAATACTAAGTACAGAGAAAGGGGGCAGGTGATATGTGCGGAGTTTGAACATTATGTCTGACAAAAAAAATAGGAATTAAAAAACCAACTCTGGCAGGCATGAAGACAAAAATAGAAGGAATGGGAGGACAAATTCAAGGCTTTTAGTCATATTTTGAATAGGTCAAAATAAATCTGAAAACCAAAACTTGCACCCAAGTTTTTTCAAAAGGATTCACTGAAGTGTTGCTGTCCAAGAAATTGGACATAAAGTCTTGCTGTCCGTGAGGCTGAGTTGTAGCATTTTTCCATGAGTTATGACTGCTCATCACTCAGAAATTGCACCTGCAGGTATTGCTGGAGATGATGATTGAAAGATACTCCTTAGAGCCTTCAACCCAGGTGGCAGCAACAGGGGTGGCTGTGCTATGGGTATGGCCACTTCTGCAGGGTGTGGAGCACTAACCATTGTCTTTTTTTTTAAAATGCTGATTTGAATGTCTAAAGTTGTCCAGTATGCCCAATAGCCAAGATTCTTGTTGCACAGAAAATCAGAAAATGCATGTTATTGTTTGGTTTTGGACAATTCCCGTGTCCTCAGATTGTACCCCACTCTCCTAGCTACCCAGGGGAAAGTAGAATTCCTTTCTGAAGAGGTTTACTCTTTAAATAAGGAAGGAGGTTTGGTAGAAAAGACATACATATCTCATTTATGATGGAAAATGGAGAAAGAGAGAGATAGTGCCTGGCTTGTGGGTGTAGATCAGATGTCACAGTCTTCTGTTTGACATCTGTACTTCAGCCACGTGCTAGTGGGAATTGTTTAAAAATTCCCATCTCGACAGTCAATTTCATGCTTAAAGCCATAGTCGTCTTCACTGCCCATCACATTCCGTTTTCTCCCCTGGGTGCTTTCAACATTTCCCCTTACGCTTTAATGAATAATTCTCCTTAGTCCTTTTTCAGGTCACCAGTGTTAGGTATTAAGTAAGCCAGGAAAGGAAAGAACTCGCCTCAGCCCACCAAATGCTTCCTTCAAACTCAGTACAGTATGGTTTATTGCTGCACTGCATTTATGCTCCTTCAGTGAGATTTGGGTCTCTGTGGTGATTTTGTGTGCAAAGTGATCTGAATTAATTTTTCTCAACATTTCTGCACAACGCTTTATCAAAAGCTTGCTGAAGACTAGGTATGCTAATAACAAACACATAAAAAATGCATGGCATGTGGAACAAATAACTACTTCAGCCATAAAAATATATTATATGTTTTCATTTGGAATATGCAGAAGAGAAGTGCAAAAATGGGGCTTTCTACCACATGCTTTTGATAAAGCTATAAACAATTAAGTGCGGATGGACTGTTGTGAATGATTAAAATATAATGATCCTAATGTTTCAGTAATTAAAAATGCATCCTGTGTTCTTAACAGTAGAGTTATTATATGTCTTCCTACCTTAAGTCAGTCAAAGGTCTTTGCTACATTTTTCTGATGCATTCCTAAGCAGTAGTGCTTAGCTTCAGTACCCATTTCAATTTTGTGTAGACTGAATTCACTTGGAAGGTTGATACATGGTTACCAGGAAGTTTTATAAAGATTAATATTTTATTGAGCTTTGAAGAAATCTGAAGGCTTGTATAAAAAGAAATAAAAGAAAAGCCTGGTAATCTACTGCAGACTTGATCAGTTGGTCTGTTTGGTTTTTAAGTCTGAATAGTCATGGGATATAGCTTGTTCTGCTCTTAAATTGGATTGCATCCAACAGTATATCTTGGCTGCTGACTGCATAAATTCAAGTTAATAAATTCCCTGATCTGTAGCATTTTCAACATTTGAAAAACAAGAGAAAGGTCCCTGGTTATCTCTCCCTCCCAAACACTGCTGAGCACGAGCTGCCGAGGAGGGCGAAGATGTTGTTTTCAGGTTCCTTCTAGAACCAGCCAGCCAGCCAGCACCAAATGGCAGCTGTGAATTATGAAACTTCAGTTTTTCCCTGTCTGCCTGGTGGGTTATGAGGAGTGGCACTGTAGAGCTTTAATGCTACTTTTTTGGACTCGCTTCTAATAAGCACTGGATTTTTTCCTCCCCCACTTTTAGACCCGGATACCGAAGTTTGTCTTCATGCTCTGCGGCTCCTCCAGTCTGTGATTCTAGAGCCAGAAGTATTAGCCAAGTCAGCCTCTGAGATGCGTGATACTTTGCCATTTCAGCGTATCATTGCGCTGTCAAAGAGCCGCAATGCAGAACTGCAAGCACTTGCAAAAGAACTACTTGACGATCTTAAAATACTTGAGTTTGAAGCATAGAAGAGCTCTATGACACCAACTGCTTACGTCTTTCCTATATTTTTATGCTGTGAGAGTTGCTGGAGTTGGGCTTGATTGAAAAAACTCTGCCTAAGTTCCTCTGACAAAATCTTTTTCAGGAATTAGGTAACCCAACTAAAATAATATGTGGGAAAATGTGTTGGGTTTTAGTTGCCTAAATATAATCTTAGGTGATCTGGTAGAGATGCAGCAGACTTAATTTCTTTGAGTAGGATTTTGTTGATAATGGGTTTCCAAAATGATCCAGGTTATGTTGTCTATTTGCCGTATATAGAGCGAGTAAAGTAGTCATCTCATTCATTGATAATATATAGTTTATTGCAGTAGTAAATAATCCTTTTGGTCCATCCTTAAGAATTATCGTACTGTGAGGAAAACTTTGTTGCTTTTCCTAACTCTTCTGTGTCAGAATTCATCCCGAGTTCCAGTTTTATTGTTGCTGTTTCTCACCTCTCTTTTTCTATTCTAATAAAAGAAAACTTAAATTCTGTAGCATGTAATGGATTCTGCTTTCAAAATTCGCATTCAGATTCACTCGAACTGCAAGTCGACCCCATCTGTGGCTGCCAGGCATACTAGAGACTGACCCATTGTTTTTTCAAAAGCCCTGAAAAAAGGAAATGAATTACTGTTGTCCGTGGTACCTCGCTGTGCACTGAAGAGCCTAAAATGAACTGCTGCTCTGTCATGAGCAGCACTGCCTTCCCTCACAACTGTGGTGTTTGTTAGAGCTTCTGTGTACAGCTTGCTTACCTCGGTGGTACATACAAACATTTGTGTGCTTTGTATTGCTAGAATTTACACATATTTTAGAAAAAAACAGCATCCATTTCTGTGATGACAGAAACCCAGCCAATTAGGTGATGCTATTCAAGGGAATAGCAAATGAGAAATGCAATGCTGTGGTAGCAACTTTTCCCATACCAAAGTTATGGTATCTCAGCTGTGAACCCAATGTATTAACAGTGTGGACTTCTAATCCAAATGTTTAGAAAACACGAAGTAAACTTCATGGGGTTTAAATGTTGTGATTGGCAGACAGTTTTAGAGGAAGACTATTGTAAAATGTGAAGTTAAGGTGTAGGTGATCTCCCATTAGTCTGTTTGCAGAATGATGAATATTCAGCTAGAAATGTTATAAATCAGCTTAAAATTACTTGAAATAATTGGCTCAAATGCTGCAAATGGTAGCAGTCTGATTTGGGACTGTCTAAAATAAAGATTAAGATACAGATCTTGCATAGATGAAAGGGTTGCATGGGGTTCTGCTGTGTCTGATTCAACACTACATTGAACTTATGAAGTGCAGATTTTTGGAAGGCTTTAAATCTTCTTTAAAGTATGCTTTCTTTGGATTTGTTTTCTTATCTTGCTATCCTAGTTAAACCTCCTAGAGTTTAATCCTAAAGTGCTCAAAATGATAATCAGTAATTTTCTGGAATATCAACTCATGAAAGTGTTCAATTTTAAGAAACACTAAAGGGCATCTACCTTCCATTAATGGGGATCTGCTCAGGAAGGTCTTTCATCAAACCTTAGGAAGCCAGTAAATAACAGAAAAAGAAGAAAGTAGTTCTGTGAGCAGAAGAGCTGGTGAAGCCTCATGTCCTGTGGATTAGAGATATTTCTTGAAAATTTTCCCGTCCTTCCCAGCCCTTCCCCCTGAAACCAAGTCCACCCAAGGGGCAGCATGGAGTGCATGAGCTGAGGGTGACACAAATGCTCATGGCCAGGTTCGTGGGCTGTGGCAATGGGCTGGTTAGCTGCTGCCAAGCAGGGTGTGCGCCGCTCTGTCAGCTTTGCCCTCGTGAAGTTTTTAATTTTGGTCTTTGCTGCTGTTACCCTGGCTGGTCATGGAGCTTGAGGGAGCTTAATTATCTTTGAGAAGTCTTCCCCTCTGTCAGGTTCACTGGGAGCTGACTGACAGATTCAGTGTTATGAGAGGGACTGGAGATGCAATTGCACCTCATTTCTACGTGAAATCAGGAAACAAAACACTCAGGACTGCTCAGTTTAATTGTGTGTCCACTGGCACGGTCAGCACTTAAAAGCCATGCTAAAATAGGTGGTTTGAGACACTACAGTTTTTCCCCAGCAAGCTGTTCAGATCTGATGATAACTCTTTGAATGTCTCCCAGATGACTTTATTTTCAGGCGTAGCTCACCAGGACTGTTTCTGCAGAATCAAGCCATAATGATCCACTGACCTTGAGAAAGTATTTTTTCTGTACTAAGTGTTTCATTATGTGAGATTGATAAATAAGAAAAAGTCACCCCATCTGTGAAACACAGTGTACCTTCAAAAATACCAGACAGCAAAAATACCAGAAGCATCAGAGAGAACCTGTGACAAACAGGTCTCTAGGCAAGTCTTTATATCTTCCCTAAATTTACTTTGTCTAGGTGTTTCCAATTAATGCTATAGTTTTAATTCTTTATTTGGGTTTATGGAAAAGAAAAAGACAACATTTGAGGGGAACTTGTTATCACAGGGAAGCAAGTTCATAATACTTTTTGGTTTGAAAAAAAAAAAAGGGGGGTCACTGGAGTCAAATTGTGCTGAAGTAAGGCAAGTGGATAGAAGCCAGGGATAAGCCTGACCCCTTAATGTTTCAGAATGTTTGAAATTTCATTAAAGTTTCTCATACTGAAATATTTTAGTAAAATAAGTTGGACATTACTAGTTGCAGATGACCTTATGAGCTGTTACATCTTTTTACTGTTTTTCAGGTTCTTTTATTCCCCACTTCCCCATTTGATAAAGCCAAGGACCAGCCCCCTTCTCCTGCTCCTCTACAGGGCTAGGGCTGTGTTGCAATTAGTTGAACCTTTTTGCTGTGGGAATGAAGCCTGCAGCTTTCCATAGAGGTGTCTGCTATACCCCATGCATACGTGGTGGGATTCTCCCAGACCTTGGCGTCTGTGATAAACTAATGATCTGTGCTCTCCAATCAGTGGCATCAATGCCTTCTTTATTGTTTCTTTCTCCATGCTAAAATTGGTGGGATTCTCATGCCATTGGCTGTAGAGAAAGCTCCAGTGACATGCCAAGACAAGGTGCCAACTGTTTAGTTTAGATGGCTAAAATTAGGTGAGATGTGGATCCTACCTTTTGGTGTCTATTTTGCAATAATAGATACAGAGCAAGTTTTCAGATTACCCTACTATTTGCAGACAGTGTTTTATAATTTTGTTTGTTGATAAGCTTGAGAAATCCCTGTTTGCAGGAGAAGAGCGTTTAGTCTTAATTTGTCTTCATGTGGCTAGTGCCAGAAATTAGGCTGTTAAGTAACTCTGGATCTCCTTTGAGTCTCCCTCTCCCTTTTTTGACAGTTTATGAATAAAAGAAAGTCTCTAAATAACAGGCGGTGCTCCAAAAACTTAAGAGCATGTCAAAGCTTTATTTACAAAGGGGAACAAGGGGTGATATACAGAACACAATATAACACTATAAGGTGCTGCTGCTGCTGCATAACATACGCATTATAAATCTCTGGTTTTACCTTGCTGTGAAGTTTTGCTTCCGTCTGAAACTGTAGGCCATTAGGAAGTTTTAGTGGTTTAAAATCAAGAGTTCTCATATGCTTTGGAAAACACCAGCTTTAGAATGTTGCTTTTCCTGGATACTGTTGAAAAGTTTGGGATTCTTCTGTGTAGTAATTGATTAATTGCATTACTAGCTTGCAGGAGAAAGGGCGGTTCACACAGTCAAAGCACTGGTTTCACTAGCCCTATTCAAAGTCTGCAGTTACTCGATCGTTGCCATTTCCTCTGTTGCACAATCTCAGAGTTTCAGTGAAGAAGTAAATGTGAGTTTGGTGTTGCTTTGAGATTATCAGAATTACTCCAGATTTATACTGATGTAACTGAAAGCAAAATTTGACTCATACTAAGCCGCCTCAAAAGATGAAAAATCTGTTCTAAAAATCCTTAGAAGAAAGCGCCTGTTTACTTCACAGTATCAGCTGCACGATTAAAATTGAACTTTACTCCTTTCGGGTTTATATACTGCGTACAGAGCTGCTGAAATGACGTCCGTTTGCTGACGCTCCTGGGAAATACTGGCTTTTCATATTTGATGTTGATGATCAATTAGATGCAAAGGAAAAATAAATGAGGATCCACTAAATGTGTTTCCTGTAACTTAAGAAATTTATCTATGTAATGTACTGCCCCACCAGTTCTTCCTGTGGTATCTTAGGCTGATGTTTGGCCTGGACTATGAGCTGGCTGAAAAGAAACTGGAAAAGCTCAGTAGAAGAAAGCAAGGCCCAGTCTGAAAGCAGTCCTTCCCCGCTGGCTCTGTGCCTCGTGCTGAGTGGCAGGCATGGCAGCATGGGTGGCCTGGCATCTCTGAAGAGGACTGTGAGATCTTAGATGAGAATGGCAACCACCTGCCCAGTTCCTGAGGGAAGCTGGTGTTTGGTCCCATGCCGACGCTGGCGAGCTCCCAGGAGCTCATGACAAAGGTGGTGAACTAGAGTTCAAGACACATCCTCCTGTTACGGTTGTTTAAGAGAGGGGAAATAAGTAGGAGGAAGAATAGGAGAGGGTGGCGATTTGGTCACACAGCCACGAGTGATCTTTCAGATGATTCAATTTCAGCTGGTTGCACTGGTCATTTAGCTGCTCCTTTGGGTTAACATTTGCACTTGTGATATGCACTGATTAGCACAAATTGGACTTCAGAATTGGCAAGATTTTACAAGTCTTGGGAATGTTGCGTGATTCATCTCCTCTACTGTTTCCAGTCCTGCAAGGGTGCTGGAGGTGAGGAGAAAGGAGTTTTACTGGGGAATAAGGAACTTCTGTTTCCTCTGTTATCCCTGCCCAATGCATATGCTACAAGTTAAGGGATATGCAAAGCATGGCCTCCCCTTCCCTTCATAGCATCTCATTTGCAGCTGCATCTGGCCGTATCTGTGTTATTCTGTAGGTAATTTTCTGATTTGTATGCAGGAACTTTTGCAACTGCTAGT